CTTGCCTTCAAGGAGCTTACAGTCTCGAAGTTGACACAATGTGATAAGGTTGGGAGAGGGGTCAGCATGGATGGCGACTGGACACAGAAGTGAGCAGCTAAGAGGGGACACCTAAGGCTGAAGAACAAGAATTTGATAAGAGGAGTGTGGGGAGGCTAACTGCTAAAGATAGGGGTAGGGGCTTAGGCAAGGGCCTGGAGCACCTAGAACAAGCGTGTCAAACTCAAAGGCTAACACGGGCCAAATAAACAAGGTTTAGGTTCACATGGGCTGCAAAAAAACAAAAGCTTCAATTTTCATAGAAATGTAGGTTTCTTTTGATAGAGATATGCTGAATACAAAGGGCTGAAATAAGTGAGTAATCATTAACATAAAATAATAGAACATTTTAATAAAAATTAATATTTTTCTTGAACATTAACTTGCCAGACACTGAGTAACTGCACACATTAATAAGCGTAATGCAAATAAACCTATTTTTCTTGTTCTCCGAAAGCGAAATATTTCCTGTTGCGCACACCAAACAAGTCAGCACAAGACTAATGACATGGCAATCGGCTGCTAAAATATTCGCTGCTAGTATTAGTGGAGAGAAATGCTGCGCCTGTGCGTAAGGCGTGTAAGGGAAATGAATGCAACACTATTATAGTAATCATCATTATCGAATATTGTAATTTGTTATTAATAATTATGTATAACGGGATATTGTAAAATTTAAGTTATGAAATTTTTATTAAAACATTTCTTACATACTGTTATATTGGCTGGGCCACAAAAATATTTGTTGTGGGCCGCATTGACATGCTTGACCTAGAACCTTCCAGAAGATTAGAAGGCCTAGAACAATGATGGTTCTGGGAGCTGGAGCCTAGATGGGAAAGGAGAACCTGTCTGCTTTAACAGAGTCCAGGCATGGTCAGATTTACATTTTAGAAAGTGACTGGACAGAGTAGGAAGACCCTGCTTTTGTCTGGTGACAGATGAGGGACAACTGAACCACAGCAATGGGGTGTGGATACAACAGAAAGAGCCGATTTGATGGACTTAGGGAGAGACAATAGACAGGATGTGGTGACTAACTGGATGGGTGGTGGGTATGCAAGAAGGAAGATAGCATCCAGCTTCCAGCTGGATCAGCAGGTAAGATAGTTGTGTTATTAACAAAGATAGGGAATACGGACAAGGAACAGGATTGTGAGGGATGATAAAAAAAGTTCCGTTTTGAGCTTGTTGAGTTTGAGGTGTTTGTGGAACGAATAAAAGATGCTGGGAAGCTGTGAGATAGTCATGCCTATACCTCAGGTGTTATAGATTTGGAAGACAATGACAAACTGAAGTCCTACAAATAACTGAGCTCATCTGATTTGTAAGTGACAACAATGATAAACCCCTAAGGAACAGCATCATATAATAGAAAGGAAGAGGAAGAGGAACCTGGAGAAAGTTAAAGGAGTGACCAGAAAGAGGAAAAATCAGGGGAGAAAGAGAGAGAGAGTGCACTAGAACTTTTCTGCATGTAACCAAAAGGAGCAATTCAAAGTGCCCTAAATAATAAAGGTGCATGTAATTGGGAATCCAGGGCCAAGACTGGCTTCAGGATCAGTTTGATTCAGCTGCTCAACAATGACATTAAGGATTCAGTTTCTTTCTTTCTTTTCTTTTTTTTTTTTTTTTTTTTTTTTTGTCTTTTGGCTCTGCCTTCTCCAGGATTAGCTTTCTTCCTATGCCAACTGCCAAACTCCTGGGGTTCATACTGCCCCCTCCAAGTCCAGGGAAGGGACCAAGGAAACTTCTTACCTGGAAACTACCGACAAAATTCTCCCCAAATTCATTGGCTTGATTTGTTTGCATCCCCTCTCCTCAACCAATTTCTGTGGTTCTGATTAGCTTATGCCAAAAACCATTTTCCCCAGACTTAGAGCATGAGATGAAGTTGATTTTCTACAAAGCACATCCACAGAGAGGTCGATCCCTTAAATAAAAACAGGGTAATTAGCATATTACCAAAAATAAGAAGAACGGGTGTTAGGGAGGCAATGACAATGGGAAAGTCTCACAGATGAGAGTTGTCCAGGAGCTGAACCAGGCACAGGCCACGTGTGCCGACAAGTATGTGCACCTCACACACTGGGAAGGAGGGGTGTGCCTGAGATCTGGAGGCAAGACTGAGAGCACACTCTGCAAAAGCAGGAATCCGGTGGAAATGGCAAGAGATGTGGCTCTTTGAGCCAAGTCCAAATCCTGGCAGTTTTCAGAAGGGCCACACTGACCCACCTGGATGTCATTGTGAAGGTGGTAGGGACTGCAGAAGGGCTCCAAGCAGGGATGCCATGGCCACACTGAAGTTTACAAAAATCACTCTGGCCTCTGCGTGGGGATGTCATGAAGGAGCCTAGGGTGAGGTGGGAGGGAGGCTATTGCTAGTGTCCGGGCAGCCTCCGCCAAGGTGGTGGTTAGTGGCGGGGTGGAGAGAAGAGGATAGAGTGAGCAATATTTAAAAAAAACAAGACAGCGGGAGTGAGGGGTAGTTGGAAGTGGAGGGTGAGCATGCAAGGGTAGGGCTGGTCAGAGTCAAGGATTAGGGCCCTGCCAGAACTCTCCTCCCCGCCCCAGTCCATTCATCCACAGCTGAGATGCCAGCGAAGTCACACGTGCTGCCACGGTCAGGATGACTAACTTTTAATTGTGGAAAGGAAATTGCATATACACATGTGGGAAACGCTTCAGGCTCCAGCTGGCTCCTCAGGTGCCGGGAGGAGAGGGAAGGGGTGAGTTCCAGGAGGAAGGAACGAAACAGGGGAGACGTTCCCAATGAAATGGAGATTTCTCTTTTATAAAAATGCAAGGGGAAGAGAATTTTGTCCTAAGGAGCAGCCAGAGCAGAACAGAATCCTAAGTCTCCATTTTGGAGGCAGCTCCCTGAGTAGCTGGTAATTTTTCTCCTTGAATGTGAAGTGTGTTCAGTCCCTGCTCCAAGAAGTTGAACCCCATGTTCTGTTTCTTGTAGACTTTGGCTTTTGTCAAATGGTAGATGTCAGAACCCTTTCCCCAGGAGGCCAGACCAAGTTGCACTCTTGGCCACACTTCCTTGGCCCTGGCTCCTCTTTGGGGGGAAAAGGAGATGGCTGGTGAGCTGATGGAGTGGAGAACACATAAGGGGATAAGGCAGGAGGAATAGATGGCTCTTCCCAGCAGCCCCTGGAAGGAAGGACTGGAAGGGGGGTGCTGGCAAAACTGCTAATCCTCTGCCTCTGTTTTCTCACTCAGCATCCTCACACCTGGAGTTCCAGCTCTTGTCTGCCTCCAGGGGAAGAGGAGGAGGAGCTGCTGATGGAGCATGTTTCCAAGACCTGCTCAGCCAAAGCACAAGCCACCAATCTGGAAAACAGAGTCCCTGGCTGACCACAGCCACACCTGCCTCTACCCACACAAGTGGGGCAACTCCATTTATCCCGGCAGGGTATTGTCCACATTCACCCTGAGGTCCGAGAAAAGAAGACCCGGCAGCTGGAGTTAGCTAGAGAAGGCCAGTGCTCAATGCTTTGGCCTCCTCTCTGCCCCAAAGTGACAGTAGAATCTGGAAAGAGTCAAACTAGAGGTCCTTGTCACTGTTTTCAGAAGATGCTCAAGGAAATCTCTTCTTCAATCAAAAAACCTCTCCACCCAATCACCAGGAAGGCCACAAGGTCAAAAGCAGCCCTTTTGCTCATACTCCACCCCTTCTTCCCCCTCACTGAGCACCAAGAATAACTTCCTGCTGGGGGTGAGGGTGGGTAAAAAAAGATTTAATTACAGTTTCTGTTTCTGACCTCCCTTCCCCCGCCCCCCCCCCCCCCCTCATGTAGCCCTGCCTGGCTGTGGTCTCAATGAAAGGCACTGGCTTGCCTGATCCTACCCCAGCCAAAGTGCCACCCAGAGAACCTTAGGGCTGGAGGGTCTTATCCACTGCCAAGTTCACCCATTCTCACGCAATCCCTGGGCAATCTCTGGGACTACCAGATAATTTGGTCTTGGAATACCTTCTTAAGGCAGGATGGAATAGGCTTCCTAAATCTTTGGAAGAGAAGGCAATTCACCCCCACACCTCCAGATATCTCCAGGCCAGCATTGTCTCCCCCTCCAATTTCTAACTCTCACCCTCCACGCCCATACCCAGGTCCCACTGCCATCCCATTCTTGCTTCATGCTTAGTGCTTTTCACATACAATTCTCAACAGCATCAAATGGGGCCTCATATTGTGTGGCCTGCCCTTCATTGTTTTGTTTTTGTTTTTTGTTTGTTAATCCTCACCTGAGGATATCTTTCCTTTGATTTTTAGAGAGAGTGGAAGGGAAGGGGAGAGACAGAGAAAGAAACATGGATGTGGGAGAGACATCGATTGGTTGCCTCCTGCACACGCCCAGACTGGGGTAGGGATTGAGCCTGCACCAAATGCACTGGAATCAAACCTGGGACCCTTCAGTCCGTGGGCTGATGCTCCATCCACTGAGCCAAACCAGCTAAGGCCTGCCCTTCATTGTTGATAAGCCTGGGACGCACAACTTCCCTGGGTCCCCTATCACTCTGACCCACCCACCCTTACTTCAAGCTTCCGAAAGAAATTTTTTTTAAATCCAATATTCACTAAGCAAACATTCTGCAAGTCTTTCTCTGCACTCAGCCAGCCCTTAACTCTCTTTTCCACTCTGATCAGCAGGTGAGGAGGGCTCTTCTGCCCACAAAGCCCCCCCAAAACTCCTCAGAGACCCCTTTTATTTTTTAAAAATATATTTTATTGATTTTTTACAGAGAGGAAGGGAGAGGGATAGAGAGTTAGAAACATCGATGAGAGAGAAACATTGATCAGCTGCCTCCTGCACACTCCCTACTGGGGATGTGCCCACAACCAAGGTACATGCCCTTGACCAGAATCAAACCTGGGACCCTTGAGTCCTCAGGCTGATGCTCTATCCACTGCAGAGACCCCTTTTAATCTGGTCATCAGATGTTTCTGAAAACCAATGCTGAGCCAGGAGGGGCATCTATGGATGGAGCTATGAGAAAACCATTTTTCTGGTTTGGGACCTCACCCACCAAGATTCCGTTAGCTGCCTTTGTTGTCCAAGAATTTGAGAGGGGAATCCTTCCAGGAGGTAGGAGGGGTGATTAAAACGAAGGAGAGAATAAAGCTTTTAGACATGGTCCATCCCAGCCAAGAACCGCCTCGGAGGTTCACAAGTGCTCACAGGACCGTCAAAGGGAAGCCAGCGCCTGTAACTCCGTTTGTTGACTCGGTGAACTCCTCCATCTCAGGGTTATTGCCATTGAAAACATCTCCTCTATCTGGAATCTTTTCTACACCGAGTGCACAATTACTTCATTCATCTCCTCAGAGGAATCTGTCACCAAATCCACAAACTGCCTCCGCCAGCAGGCAGGGCAGGATACCAACTTGCCCCAGCCTCCGCCCACTGGGATGAGCCAAGGATGCGGTTCCTGTGTTAATAAAGCCCCAGAATCTCTCCAATGGTGTGGGTGGCATCCTCTGCCTCCCCCCAACCTGATCGCAGCCTCCCCCTCCCTTACCCTCAGAAAGAAGCAAGGCCAGAAGAGAGGGATGGAAGCAGGCATTTCTATCTGAATCAATGTTTGGGGAGATTCACATAAACATACAACAGGTTCTTACACCCAAGAAAGGAAAACTAACCTGATAGTGGGCCTTCCATGTGCCAGGGGTATGTTGTGTTGCACATTTGATCTTCACAACAACCCACTGAGGTTGGTCATTTACGAAGGAATCACTGTGACCAGAGTAGGACTTGAAAGCAAGTCCACTAGCTGATGGCAAGAACGTGGGGGAAACAACTAAGAATCTGAGGGTGTGTCGCCTGCATCTACTGGGAGGAGTCATGATACCCTACCCACCTACCTCCCAGACCTGAGGAGAGGGAAGTCAAGTGCAGCAAGTCTGAGTGCTTGGTAACCTGGAGAGCACTTTCCAAATGTTAATGGGCTGTGACCCTCAAGGGTAGCAGATCTTCTACTTCATCTTTGTGTCCCCAGCACCCAGATCAGTGGCTGGGACATCATCAGCCCTCTAAGGATGTGGGAGTGGAATGAAGCAGGGCTGTACCACGTCCCATGGAGGCCAGAAGGAGACCTCCCATGGTCTGGATGGGGTAGGGGCTGGGAGGAGTGGCAAGGAAACCAAGCATCTCGGAACAGACCACCCTGAGCAACGAATGAGCACAGAGTTCTGGGAGTGGGGAGTGGGGAGTGGAGAAGGGGGCCCTCTCCCCAAGGCTATTCAGATCAGCCAATTCACAAAATCTTGCAGGAAGAGCCTTGTGACCCCCTCACAAGAGGTGAGCGTTGAACTGAGGCCCAAAGCACCGCTCTCTTTAAAGGGAGAGCTGAGCCCTCCCATGTTGGGAGTGGGGTGGGCAGAGGGGTGATGCCTAGCTGATGCCAGCCTTGAAGAAACCCAGTGGCTCCTGACAGAAGGCGAGTCTGACGAATCTCAGTGTGATGAGATGCAGGTGCTCTAGGCAGGCTTTTGTTGGGGAGAGAAGTGGAGAGGAAGGTTCTAGATCTGGGTCCTCTGGGAATTTCCCACAGACCTACATCAGTGGGAGGGAGTCTGCCCCTGCCCCAGACATAAACATTACTAGCACCTTCCCTGGAAGCCACCCCTGCCCCCTGCCAAGAGGGATCTTTGAGTCCTTGGCACCCACCTTATCTGTAACTGTTTTAAGGCTCTAACTGCATTCTGCCTTTCGTTTCAGGCATTTGCGGGCCTGTCTCCTACCACAGCGTCCAGCGCCTGGCCAGGACTCCACAGACACAGGTGAAGAAATGAAGGCGGGTCCCGGCCAGGAAGGGGACAAAGGGACACAGGAAAGCCAGCATGGCCTGCCCCCTGCCCTGCCATCCACTGCGGGCCCCAGGCCCCCCCATGGCCCCTGGGGTGCC